AACAGGAGCATAACAAAGGACTCTAGAAACTTTTCTCCAGTTAAGCATTTCAAATTTTTACGGTATTTCTAGCATTATTCATCTTCTGTTTCTTCCTCTAAGTGATGGGGTTTCCCCCGCAGTAATTGCGTCCCTTAAAATGCCTTCCAAATTTCCTACGGAATTATCCATTGCCTACAGATTTGCGGGGGTAAGTAACGAGATGAACGAGTGTGTCTGCAGATTAGAAGCCGAAACAAATTTCAAAGTATCGATTTGAACGGAATCACGTCCGTTTTCGGCGTCTTCGTCGTCCCCGACGTCGTCGACGTCGGTCGTACGTAGTAGTAGTGTCGGAGAAATCGTAAAATTCTTTTACCGGACCCCGAACAACGAAATACAATAAAGGGAAGTTTTGAAGACTACCCAGCAATCCAGCTTTGGGAAATTTCAGTTGGAAACTCTCTCTAAATCACGACAAGTAGACGTGGCACGGTTGTTATCGAAGCGAAAGTTTCTCGACAAGATTTTCAACTGTACCACTACGAACAATGCTACACGAGCAGCTCAATAATTGCCTTCCACCGCACATTTCATACAATTCTGTCGAGTTTTACGTGCATATATATGTATATCCATACCCAGTTGTATGTACCTACATTACATACATACGTATGTAATATTTCCGTATTCAATACACGGCCCTGAGTAAATAATGGTATAACCCACGGTATTATAAAGCTCAAGGCATATGTGTATCGCATTTGACGGCGAAACTTTTGTATTTTTTGTACCCACGACAATGACATGACGTTTGCATACTACATAAATAAACACGTCGATGCATTACCCTTATAACTTTGAATATTTTGAAAAAAAAAATCGCAAATCCAACGAACTGAAATCGACCAGCTCGCTTGGAATTTGAAACTTCAATTAACCAGTCAAACTTTGGTGCACCAACTTTAAGATTGTTGGAAATAAGTAAAAGGTCTGTTCAAAATTATCGCGAATTTTATTTATTTATTCATGAATATCTGTTTTGTCCCTTTCATAGTAATTCCCACCACTTGCGCCAAAATTTTTTCCAATCCTCGAAGCACTTCATTATCTCCTCAATCCTAGCGTAGCGTCATCATTTCATGGGTTTCTTCAGTTTCGGGAACAAGAAAAAGTCACAGGGGGTCAGATCTGGGGAATACGGTGGCTGCGGCATTATTAATGTGTTGTTTTTGGTCAAAAATTCGCGCACAAGCAACGATGTGAGAGAAGGGGCGTTATCATGGTGCAAAGGCCATTTTTTTGTTCTTCCACAAAGCCGGGCGTTTCTGGCGAATTGCTTCGCTCATAACTTGCAGGTAATATTCTTTATTGACCGTTCTACCTTGTAGCAAGGACTCATGATGCACCACGCGCCTGCAATCGAAGAAAACTGTAAGCAAAACCTTCACATTCAACCTAACTTGGCGCCCTTTTTTCGGTGTTAGCTCGTACGGCAGCTTCCATTGAGATGATTGAGCTATGGTTTCTGCGTCATAACCATGAACGAACCTCTGGAGCAAATTTGGGTCGTCGGAGTCCAACAGCTCCCTAGCAATGTTAATACGATACTGTTTTTGACTGAAATTGAGCAATTTTGGTACGAATTTCGCCCAAATCATTGGTAAAAATCTAATGACAGGGGCCAGTCGGTTTGTTTAAGTCCTCAACAACTTCTCTAACGGTAATTAGACGATTGGTCGATACTATTTTCTTCATTTCATCAATGTTTTCGTCTGTTGTTGACGTGCAAAGATTAGTACCAGTTGGAAGTATGTCTCTATTATCATCAAGCTCAAAAAAAAAGGAAAATGTATCAGTATATCGATAACATTCAACTCCGTTCCTTTACTTCTACCAGTGTCTGTAATTCAGATATGAATGTCGTATAATCCATGAAATCCTGCATCTGCGGAAGGAGTAAGAGAACAGAAGGCGCTATGGAAATCAATAAGAAATAGATGAAAAAAGAGATGATCCTAAATGTAATTTGACCAATACATTACTTTAGTACTATTTCATAATCACATTATAGTCCTTAATGTTATAAATTCTTGATTGTTATCGATTTCATTCCTTTTTTGAATAGCAATTCTTTGTTAAAATGGATAGAAAAAGTAGTTTCAACTGATCCTGATGGGCAGTTAGTACAGTGGTTTAATTAATGTGATGTTGCAATTTAACTAATAATAAATTGTAGATTTATATTATAGACACAGGTAGCTCGATTAGTTTAATATACGATTAAATCTACAACACTTATTTACAACATGCGATTGTTTACAATCAAAGCAAATAACATGTTGACTAACGCAACAGATTTTCATATAGATTAGAACATACTAAATAATTACACGTATGTATCTTCATATTACTCAAAATGCTAAATAAATATACACGACATAAAGTCACCCATTAGATATTAAAAACCGATACTGATAATTGGCATGCAAATAAATATTCGGACGTTTAATAATCTTTTAATTACAATGTACAAATTCAAATTAACCCATTTCAAAATGATTCGTTTGATGTGCATATCAAAATAATAATATAACTCCGCAAATTAAATCTCAAAGCCGTATCCTACATGATATATGTTCGTCTGGATGCGAAATTAAGTTTTAATTTAAAATCATCATGTTATCATTATCAATATTAATTACAAGAAATCTGGTAGATACATGTCTCTACTTATAACTTCTATTTAGCAAATGACATTGTCTGTACTTCGTCAGCGGTTATTCAAAATAAGTGTTCGTTTTTCATAGCTTTCATTTGAATTTCTGTTATTATTACTCCACCCCCACAGGTTATAAAATTATAATGTACAATTTATACATTTTTGCTTGTACAGGCCGGAGGACATCTAAAATCATTAGAAATATTTTTACATAATAGTTGAACTCCCTATTTTGTGAAATGTTGAATATTAGTTTTTTATTTAATAATATTGGTGCAATATATGTTGTAATAATTGTTAATTACTTTATAATTATATGTAAATGTTCATATAGTGGAAAATTTGAATTTAATGAAACGCTCTTTTTTTAATGACAATAGAAACTTTTCTCCAGTTAAGCATTTCAAATTTTTACGGTATTTCTAGCATTATTCATCTTCTGTTTCTTCCTCTAAGTGATGGGGTTTCCCCCGCAGTAATTGCGTCCCTTAAAATGCCTTCCAAATTTCCTACGGAATTATCCATTGCCTACAGATTTGCGGGGGTAAGTAACGAGATGAACGAGTGTGTCTGCAGATTAGAAGCCGAAACAAATTTCAAAGTATCGATTTGAACGGAATCACGTCCGTTTTCGGCGTCTTCGTCGTCCCCGACGTCGTCGACGTCGGTCGTACGTAGTAGTAGTGTCGGAGAAATCGTAAAATTCTTTTACCGGACCCCGAACAACGAAATACAATAAAGGGAAGTTTTGAAGACTACCCAGCAATCCAGCTTTGGGAAATTTCAGTTGGAAACTCTCTCTAAATCACGACAAGTAGACGTGGCACGGTTGTTATCGAAGCGAAAGTTTCTCGACAAGATTTTCAACTGTACCACTACGAACAATGCTACACGAGCAGCTCAATAATTGCCTTCCACCGCACATTTCATACAATTCTGTCGAGTTTTACGTGCATATATATGTATATCCATACCCAGTTGTATGTACCTACATTACATACATACGTATGTAATATTTCCGTATTCAATACACGGCCCTGAGTAAATAATGGTATAACCCACGGTATTATAAAGC